AAAAAAAAAAAAAAAAAAAAAAAAAAAAAAAAAAAAAAAAAAAAAAAAAAAAAGCCCACAAAACCAAAAACCAACCAAAACCAACCAACCAACCAAAAAACCAACCAAAAAACCCCCCCAAAACTAAAGTATTATTTGTAAAAATCATTTTGATTTGCTTTTACCTCCTTAGCCACATTAAGTTCTAGTTGGGCTTTGGCCCTTCTCATCTTCCCCCTCCATGACCTCCCAACATCCTCGTTGGCCTCCTGACTTGCTGCCCCTTCTCCCAAAGGTCATCACTCTCCAGTTGTGCTGCCTTCCTCCTTCCTTCCCTGGGAACCCAAAGCTCATCCCGCTGAGGGGGTGCCCAGAGTCCTGGGGTGCCTGGGCTGTGTGGGGGCACTTTATGGATGAGTTTTCCCTGCCCCAGAGAGCAGCTTCTCTTTTGCTTCTCCTTTTGCTTTCCGTGCACATCGGTTCTCCTGCTCAGTCTGTTCTTGCTGCCTTTTCTGGAGATGGGTTGGAGGCTTTAGGGGCTGCGGGTGGTCCTGATCCCCCTGCAGTCCTTGTCCACTTCTCCTCCTTGCTCCTGTGCCTGCCCTGTGCTGTGCTCTCTCCAGGAGCCAGAACAAAGATGCTTGCCCCAGAAACTGCTGCCCTCCCTCCACATGGGCCCTTCCCCAGCCACATCCTGCTCTCTCTCTCAGGATGTTCCTCCCCACAGCCATCAGGGTTTGGGACAGGCACACTGGCCCCAGACCTTCTGGGCCTCTCCAGGGTGGGATGCTGTGCAGGTGCTGTGTGTGCTGCAGCCACTGGATGCCCGTGAGGCTGGAGAACAGTTTAATAATCAGGAGTTCCAGAACAATCAGAACGGGGCTGTGCCCATCCCCGGGGTCCTGCAGAGTGCCCGGGGCAGGGACAGGATCTGCACATAGGGGGGCTGGGGGGATTCCCCTGCTGGCCCCAAACACTGCCTGGGAGCCTCATTGCCCATGGTGTGGGGACAGAGGGGCAGAGCCTGGGCTGGGCTGCGAGGGGAGCTGGGCAGGGGGCCATGGGAAGGGCTGGGAGCTCCTGGGAGCGTCACTTTCCCCTTGGCTGGGACAGGGAGGGCTGTGGGCAGGGATAGGGGGTCTCTGTGAGCTGGGACAGGGAGGGCTGTGGGCAGGGATAGGGGGGCTCTGTGAGCTGGGACAGGGGGTCTCTGTGAGCTGGGACAGGGCTCCATGGCTGGGGCTGGTGCCAGGGTGCTGCTGGTGTGGGGGTGGGACACCTTGGAGTGGAGCTGCCAAGGGCAGGCATGGACAAGGGGATGGAAGAGGACAAAGATGAGATGTGGGATGAAGCAGCAGCTCCAAGGCAGCAGATCCATGGCCATGACCTGGTTCATCCACTGGGACGTGGTGACCAAAAACCCCACAGGGTCACATGGCAGCAATTCCCTGGAGCTGTTCCACATCCCCCTCACAGGGATCATCACATCCCCCTCACAGGGATCCCCACATCCCCCTCACAGGGATCATCACATCCCCCTCACAGGGATCCCCACATCCCCCTCACAGGTCTCCCCACATCCCCCTCACAGGGATCCCCACATCCCTCCTCACAGGGATCCCCACATCCTCCTCACAGGGATCCCCACATCCCCCTCGCAGGGATCCCCACATCCCCCTCTCAGGGATCCCCACATCCCCCTCACAGGGATCCCCACATGCCCCTCACAGGGATCCCCACATCCCCCCTCACAGGGATCATCACATCCCTCCTCTCAGGGATCCCCACATCCCTCTCACACGTGTCAGCCAGTGGAGGCTGAGGGGCCTGATCCCTCCATCCCTCCCAGGGCCCCCTCACCCTGGCCAGTGGCTGGAAGGAGCCAGAGCCCTTGGCCCTGGCAGGAGGGGCAGGACACACATTCCACAGTTTATTTCCATTTGGTGGTGGGATGTGATGGGGGACGTGGGTGCCCACCCTGGCAGAGCCAGCTGGGACCCCTCAGCCCTGCAGCCGGCCGGGGGTCCCGCTGTGGGGCTCCTCTCCCCAGCGAGGGTGCAGCTCCCATTGGCTCTGTGCAGGTCCAGGGGCACTTTGGGACGCGCTGCCCTCGTGGGGCACCCGCAGCCCCCACTGCCCCTGGGTGGGTGGTGGGCAGGGGGGGCCTTGGGGCGGTGGGTCCGCAGGGCCATCAGGCAGCGTTGCCCAGGACCAGCACGCTCATGAGGAAAACCATGAGGAAGAAGATCCACATGAAGAAACGGTCCATGACCTTGGCCACCTTCTTCCACTCGCCGGTGCGGCGCTGGTTGGCGCGGTGGCGCCGGAAGCAGCCGGCGATGTAGCCCACGTTCCTCAGCAGGGCGTCGTGGTGGCACAGGCAGTGGCCCCAGGGGCAGACCCCGGCCTCGGAGCCCACCTCCCCCTCCCCGGGGCTCTCCCACGGCCCCCCAGCGTCCCCCCTGCTCCCCTGCCCGCCCGGCGCCCGCTGGGGACTCTTGCAGCTCTCGCCCACCTCGTAGACGCAGCAGAGCCGGGCCATGTGGTGGAGGATGAGCTGCCGTGCCCAGGGGGGCACGGGCCGGGCCCCCGGCCCGCAGTGGTGGACGTTCATGATGAAGATGGTCAGTGCAGTGGAGGCCGTGATCATGGTCATGGTGGCGATGTAGTACTTCCCTGTGGGTGGGCAGTGGGTGCTGGCACTGCACTGGGGGGGTCCTCACCCCCCCACACCACAGCCCTTCCCCCTGGCAGGGGATCCTCACCCACACCCCATGGCCCTTCGCCCTGGCAGGGGCATGCCTGACCCTGGCGCAGCCCCAGTCCCACGGGACACTCCCGGCACACCCCCAGTCCCACGGGACGCTCCTGGCACAGCCCCAGTCCCACGGGACGCTCCCAGTGCCGCCCCAGTCCCACGGGACGCTCCCGGCACAGCCCCAGTCCCACGGGACACTCCCGGTGCCGTCGGGGCTCACCGATGAGCGGGACGCTCTCCGAGGGCGGCATGCTCTCCGCCACCAGCAGCTGGAACACGGTGAGGGCCAGCAGCACCGTCACCCCCAGCGACACCTTCTCCCCCGAGTCAGCGGGCAGGTAGAAGCCGAGGGGCGCCAGGAAGGAGACCATGATGCAGGGCAGGAGCAGGTTGAAGATGTAGAAGGAGGCGCGGCGGCGCAGGAGCAGCGTGTAGGTGATGTCGGGGTAGGGCTCGGAGCAGCAGCCGTAGGTGATGACGTTCCGCGTGGCCGGCATGCCCAGCACCTCCCACTCCACGTTCTCCACGAAGTCCGTCAGGTCCCCGCTGTCCAGCCGGTTGCGGAGGTCTATCTGGTTCCCGTTGTAGGTCCAGGAGCCGAAGGTGAGGCGGCAGCGCTGCCCGTCGAAGGGGAAGTAGGACACGTCCACCTTGCAGGAGCTCTTGGTGATGGCGGGCGAGTCCCACATGATGTGCCCGTCCGAGCGCAGCACCACGTTGGTCTCCATGGAGCCCCCGAAGTGCTCGTCGGCGCTGGGGGAGGAGGGGGGAGGGACGGCCGTAGGGCCGAGGTGGCCCCCGGGCCAAGCCGTGTCCCCTCCCCGTGTCACTTGAAGCCCCTGGCAGCCCCCGTGGTGGCGGGGGGTCAGTCCCGGGCACACCGGGCTGCTGCCAGCCCCCCTGGCCCCGTGCCACCCAGATGGTGGGACCACCTCCTGCATCACCCACACCGGGACCCTCCTGCTCCCACCCCACGTGCAGCCACGCAGCCCCAAGGTCGGCGACACCCGGTGCAGCCCCCCAGCCCCAGCCCGAGCCCCCAGCCCCAGCCCGAGCCCCCCCAGCCCCAGCCCGAGCCCCCCCAGCCCTGGGAGCAGCGGCAGGGGCTGAGCACAACCCACTTGTTGTAGAGGATGATGTCCGGCCGCCACACGTAGCTGCTGGGGATGCGGATGCTGTCGATGCCGCCGTAGTCATTCTTGTCCCAGCTCAGGTGGGCGTCCAGCCAGGCCTGGCGCACCCACAGGTATGAGGTGAGGACCTGGTTCCTCTCGTCCTGCCGAGGGCAGAGGGTGGGCACGGGCTGATGGCCCCTCGGTGCCACCCCCGCCCCCCTCAGCCCCCAGCCCAGTGGCCTCTCCAAGTGTCCCGAGGGGCTGAGGTGGCTTCCAGGGGGTCCTGCTGGTTCGAGGAGGTTGGAAGGGTCTGAGCCGAGCTCTGAGGCTTCACGGAGCTCATTGAGGGGGGAAGGTTGTGCAGGTTTTGGGCGGTCTGAGCCGTCTTCAAGTGGTCTGAGCTGGCTCGGGGGCAGCTGGGCTGGTTTGGGCGGGGTCTGGGCTGGTTTCAAGGGCTGAGCATCAGAGCAGGAGCCACCGGGGCAGAGCCGAGCCCGGGGCCGGTGCTGTGCCCGGGCACTCACCATGTCGATGATCTGGGAGAGGGTGACTTGCAGGGTGACGTTGAGCGCCCGGTCCGTGTCCTCCACGGGGCGCAGGGCGCTCGAGTAGTTGGCGAAGAGGTCGTGGAGCAGCTTGTAGGCGAACCTGCCCTGCGCCCCCCGGCAGCCTGGGGGGACCCAGAGCGGCGCTGGAGCGGCCGGGGCTCGGCCGGAGCCCTCCCGAGGATCCCCAGGGCCAGCTGGGTAGGGTGGGGGAGCACCTCGGGACTCCCGTCCCTCCTCGCCGCCAGCCTGAGCCCCCCACGCCCCCGGGATGCCCCGTGTGCGGGACGCTGCTCGCAGCAGCCGTGGGATGCTCGCCCCGCACCCGGAGCGGGGTCCGCACCGCTCGCTGCTCACCCGGGGCCAGGAGGACGCCGGCCAGGCAGAGGCAGAGGCAGAGCAGCCCGAGCGCTCCGAGCTCCATCCCGCCGAACAATCCCGGGGACACGGGGGGGGCCGGGGTGACGTCAGGGCTGGGACAGCGCGGGGGGGCTCGGCCCCCACAGGGACCCGCAGCCAGGGGGTACGGAGAGACCCCCGAGGGTCCCCGGCTGGGAGGGGGGGCAGCTGAACCCCTTTGGGCTGGGTTTGGGTGCCGAGGCACCGCCGGCACCACACGGTACCTGTCGGCTGCACCTGCTCGAGCCCCGGGAGGGAATGGCTCTTCCAGAGGCTCCTGGAACCGTGGGGGCAGTGGGAAGAGCCGAGGGTGGATGCTGCAGTCCCTGGGGTACAGGGACCCCTGTGCACAAAGGACATCCCGTTCTGCAGACTTTCAAAAGAGCAAGGAAAGGGAAGAGGCAGATTATTCCCTTTTGGTGAGAGGAAAAGCCCGGGAGGTTAAGGGACACGGCCCAGGAGACAAAGCAGGAGTGGCAGCGGTCCCTGTCCCAGGAACATCCCCCTGCTCCATCGCTGGGGAATCCGGAGCATCGTCCCCGCTCCATCGCTGGGGAATCCGGAGCATCGTCCCCGCTCCATCGCTGGGGAATCCGCCGCCTCCCCGGCTCCTCCTGGCACGTTTCCCACGCCGGGCCCGGCAGCAGGTGCCGAGCGGTTTTGAGGCCGGAGGTTTTGTTTCCAGGCAGTGAATTATTCATGCCCAGCCCGTGTCCCGCCGGGCCCGGGGCCGCACAGACCCAATTACAGTAATGGAAGGAGGTGAGGCCGGAGGGACCCGGCTCCTGCACACGGACAGTGTCACCTGAACGTGCCCCCTGCCATGGGCAGGGACACCTCCCACCAGAGCAGGTGCCTCCAGGCACCGTCAGGCCTGGCCTTGGATGCTTCCAGGGATGGGGCAGCCACAGCTGCTCTGGCCAGCCTGGGCAAGAGCCTGCCCACTCTCCAAGGGAAGGATTCCCTCCCAGTCTCCCATCTCACCCTGGTAGTATAGGAAGCCATTCCCCCTTGTGCAAAGTCCCTCTCCAGCTTTTTCACAAGCCCCTTTCAGTACCAAAAAGCCACAGTGTAGTTTTTTCAGGCTCCCCCCCCCACTTCTCCAGGCACGGGTGACTTTTCCTCCCAAGGCTCAGAAGGAGCCTCCCCTGATCCCCACTAAAGGCACGTGGGATCAACAGAAATCCCACCAAGGGATACACACACCTACGAACCCAAGCCCTCCCTTAAAAAGCAAAGGAACCCGTGGGAATACTATAAACATTTTATTTATTGTTTTCAAAAAGACAAGAAAATAATCTAGAGCATTTATTTATACTTTTTAATAAAAACCTTTCGATACTCCTCATGCATTGAAGACCTTCCGTGGCCCCGGGGCGGCGCCGGGGCCGGGCCTGCTGGGGCGGGAATGCGAGCGGGACAACGCGAGCCTCTCGTCCCGGCCCGTCCCGGGTCAGTCCTCTCCCGTTCCTGCCCGTCCTGGGGGGCTCAGGGCGTGCCCACGGCCAGCTCCCGCAGGTAGGCCTGGGTGAGCCCGCGCAGCTCCTCCAGGGCGTAGTCCTCGGGCATGGGCAGGCGGCCGATGTGCGGGGCCAGCAGGCGCAGGGGGGGCACGCGCGGCTCGGCCGGGCCCGGGCCCTGCTGCAGGCTCAGCACCGCCCGCAGCACGTTGGCCACGCGCTTCGCCATGTCTGCACCGGGGAGAGAGACAGGGGAGAGAGGGGCTGCTGCGGGGCCTGAGCCAACAGGGCTGCCCCCTCAGCACAGGGACACACGAAACGGCCTCAGCCTGTGCCAGGCAGCTCTAGGCTGCACAGAGGGGAAAATTCCTTCCCTGAAAGGACGGGGGGGGCTCAGCCTGGAGAAAAGGAGCCTCAGGGGGGACCTTCTGGCTCTGCAACTCCCTGATAGGAGCAGGGAGCTGGGGAGGGGACGGGCTCTGCTCCCAGGGAACAGGGCCAGGAGGAGAGGGAACGGCCTCAGGCTGTGCCAGGGGAGGCTCAGGTTGGATATTGGGAAAATTCCTCCACCAAAAGAGCTGTCCAGCCCTGGCACAGCTGCCCAGGGCAGTGGTGGAATCATATCCCTGCAGGGATTTAACAGCTGCAGGGATGTGGCACTTGGGGACAGGGTTAGTGGCAGCCTTGGCAGTGCTGGGGGAACAACTGGACTCAGGGATCTCAGAGGGTTTTCCAGCCTTAATTATTTTGGGATACACCAGCAGGCCAGGTGGCAGCCAGGCTGTGGCACTGGCTGTGCCAGGGACAGGGGTGTCACCTACCCGACTGAGCCAGGCGGTCCTTGGCGTTGTGGCACTGCAGCTGCTCTATCCTGTTGCACAGGGACGTCACTTTGGTGTGTAACCGCTCCAGCTCGAAGGTGGAACAATCCAGCTGGAAGCAAACAGGACAGTGAGCTGAGGCAGCAGAACCAGAGCCCTTGGGCCCTCGGAGCCAAATAACCCACCAGGGAACACTGTTCACCAAAACCTGCCTGAACTGAAAACCAGAATGGGGAAAGGGGAGGCCTGGACTGGAGT